GCATTGCAACTCATCGGGCTGTGAAAAAAGACAAACATTACTGACCCCCCACCCTAAACCTGAACCTCTCCCCTCTCTCTCTCTCCTCCCCAGGGGTCCGGGTCAGGTCCCTCCCTCTCCGGCGGGGCGGGGTCTTCGGGCTCCAGGCCGACGCGGCAGCGAATCACACGCGTCAATCTCAGGGACCTGCTGTTCTGTTTGGAGAACGAGAGATTTTCCAGTCACTCCCATTTCCTCTACAAGGGCTTTCTCAAATAGACTGGGTGTCAGCGGGGAGAGGAGGGAGAGATCAAACGCTGCCTCCACGCAGAGACTCTTTTTAAATGAGGAGGAGGAGGAGGAGGAGGAGGAGGAAGAGGGGGGCAGAGGTTTTCCAGATAAACCTGATAATCTGATGAACAGAAGCAGCCACGTTGGATGGCCTCTCTTCTCAAATAATGATCAGAGAAATGGACAAATGCTAATTACTGTTCAAGAAAGTGCAAAGATGGATGTGTGTTACGAGAGGGTTTATGAATGAACACTTTTCAATTATGCACAGAACAGTTTATAATCAGATGATTTGTGTTAGCAATGGACATCGACACATTTGTTTTTAATAGACAACTAATTTGTATTGAATATTGATTGTAGATTTTTCCTTTTTTCTTTTTAACTGAATTAGTTTGAACTCCGAACTGTGTAACCTACTGAGTTGCCTTCCTAACTATGAATAAGCCATATAGCCATCGCGAAACAATTAACCCTGCTGTCACTCACGAAGCAGTAGTCATTTCCAGTAGGCTACTTGATTTTATTGTCAGCATATTTATTTACTAAACTCAATCTTAAATGAATGTTTATTTATTTTAATTTCATATGAAGCTTCAGTCGTTTCATGTAGTTTAAATGCAACATTCTTAGGATATGTTTAAAATCAACGTAGACATTGTAGTTTGGTGAATAGATTTTAGTGCGTGAAGAAGAATTCTTCGTATTTTCATGTTTTAAATCGTTCATTTAAAATGTATTTGATTTCTAAATAGATGGCTTTTAAACCCTTATTATATACCAAACTTGCATCTACCTGAAAGCGATCTCTATTTTTGTAGCTGCCCACCAACACACATTTGTACTCTTTCAATATTGACTGACGGTGTCCTCCGACTCAGCAAGGTGCAGTTTCCTTCTGTATATTTGTAAATGTTACACCTACAGTTTTACACATGTTTTTGTATAGAGTTGAGAATTTAACCACCCAGAATAAAGAAAAACACATTTTCTCTATTAAAATGTTTGAATAAATAATGATTTTACAGTAACTGGTTGAGGTCTGTTGTTTGTTGTACGCCACCAGGGGGCAGCATTGCATTAATATAACTGTGCTGCAAGGCTTTGCACATGAATAACACCTTTAAATCCTTCTCTCTCTACCTGTTCACAGATAATTCCTCCTAATCCTCTAACATCTGTAACACCACATGTAGTACACACTGTGTCCCCCGGGTGTTTACAGGCATCTATTAACCACAACTCCCACACTGCTAACACTGAACCTAGAACAGGGGTCGGCAACCATGCTGGCACGCGGCACAGTAACCAGTGGCACACTAGGAATAAGTGGAATAAGTGCAAAATATTTAAATTGTATTTTTGGATCCTGACCGAGACCGCCGCCAGAGCGTCTCCTCGTTACCTGCAGAAGGAAGCCATGCACGCAACGCAGCCCCGCTCTCTTTATCTCCAGGTGACTTTCTGCCGCTTTCCTCCGTGGTGCAGTGCTGATCGTTTCACCACGGAGGAAAGCACTTCACTAATTGCAGTACCCATAAGGAGCTGTACAAATGCTGCAGTTTTTGCGTGGCTGTGTATTTAGTTGAAAGCCCAGTGGCGATCTGTTCATCTGTTATCGAAATAATATGCTACAAAGGGGCGGACTGGCCATCTTGTGTGTTGAACTTTCCTGTCGGCTCCCAGACCGTAGTCGAGGAGGGCAGAAGCAACAAGCTTCAGGTTCAATAACCCACTTTAGCTTAAATGACTGGAGAGAGGCGAGCTCTTCTTGGGAGGCCGTTGCATTTATTTAGCTGTTCTTCTGTTTCACAAAATACATCACAGACCTCTGTTTTTCTGCTTCCTCGTTTCACTTCCAGAAACATACACACGTTCCCTCACTGTCGCTCTACCATCCACACACACATGCACAAGCCACACCCCTCTCTCTCTCTCTCTCTCTTAAAGGGACAGCGATCTCATCTCACTCTGCATGACCCTAATATCATAACATGTGTGCTCTGGAGAATCACAGAACGGACGATCAAAAACGACCGGGTTCTAATTTCGCATCTAAGGATGAAATTTGTTTAACGCAACCCTATACACGGCAACGTAGTACGTGTTTTTTATAGTATAACGTAACAAAGGTAATTCATCTATATATATATATAAGAATCTATAAACCGTAATATACCTTAATACAGAAATCTTTTATAATGTCGTATGTCCGCAGTCGTTGGTCACCTTCATTAACATGAAAACCTAGGACTGGTCTCTGGCGCGACGGGTCTCGCAGAGGAGCATGGACGTCTTCCGCTTCGGTAACGGTGCGGTTGCGTCGGGGCGAGAGAAATAGAAGGTCCGACTGAAAGACCCGGCGAAAGGAAGGCACCACGGTCCAACGACGTAGCTAAGTGGTGCCTCTTTCGGTTCATTAACGTCGATGGTATTCCTCGGACGATGTTTACCGGACGGTCGAAAACGGAACGACAAAAAGTAAATCAACTTTCGGGTCACCGCCTCAGACAAGTATGACAATAGCTTTATTACTACGATGTTGCCGGCCCTGACCGGAGAACGACACAACTTGAATGGACGAGGCGAGCGGTCTGCGATCAGCTCCGTCCCGCGTCTGGTTGTTCGAAGTCCAAGTTATTGGGTGAAATCGAATTTACTCGACCTCCTTCTCCGCTCGAGAAGAACCCTCCCTGGCGTACAATCACAAGAAGACAAAGTGTCTTATGTAGTGTTTGGAGACAATAAAGACGGCGACCGGAGCGAAAGTGAAAGGTCGTTTGTATGTGTGCAAGGGGTGACAGCGAGATGGCTAGTGTGGTGTGTACGTGTTCCGGTGGGGAGAGAGAGACAGAGAGAGAATTTCCCTGTCGCTAGAGTAGGTGAGACGGGGCCACGTGGTATTATAGTATTAGTACACACGAGACTCTTAGTGCGTCGTTGCGCTGCTAGCGAGGAAAATAATACGGGCAAATTTGGTTAATAAATTTACACGGAACAATATTAAGCGCGTGTACATTCGGAACTCGTGACTGTCCAGTGTACAGGTGTGTGAAGAAAGGGTCGTCGCTCCGGAGGCGCGGGAGCGACGAAAATTAACTGCTCGGCAGTTGAGGAGTTGGGTTAAAGACAAGAACTGATGTCGTTGCACGAGGTGACGTATCCCGAGAGTGATGTCTGACGCATCCGTTGACGGATCACCCTCTACGGTGACGAGACGACGTCGCATATGAAGGCCGGGGTAGACGTGTCTACGGTGATAGAATGGCCCCGGCAAGAGTTACAGCTCATTTGGACGACGGTCTCTCGGCGACGCACTTAAATCAAAATCCACCCTAAAAAAGCTGCCTGTAAGCGCTCTGGGCGGTACGTCGCAGTCAAAAGGACGACGACCGACATAATGCTGCCCCTCGTAGCGAGAGGCAGCATTAATGTTCGTCGTGTCCCTTTGACTGGCGACGACCGCGCCAGGCCGGCTTACCAGGCAGCTTATAGGTTGGATTTTGAATTTAGTGGCGGCTCCAGAGACGTCGTCCAAAATGAGTGTTCAAGCCTCATTTGCCGAGGTGGCCATTCATCACCGTAGACCGGCCGTCTAACGGCCTTCATATGGACGTGTCTCGTCCACCGTAGACGGGTGATCGTCACGGATGTCCAGACGATCTACTCCGGTATGGTCACCGTGTTGCAACGACGCACAGTTTTGTCTTTGAACCGGAACGTCCTCGACTGCGGAGCAGTAATTTTCGGGTCCCTCCCGCGCCCCGTCCGGGAGCGGACGACGCCTTCTTCACACACCGTGGACGACTGGACACGTTCGAGTTGGCATGTACTACGGCTTAAATTGTTCGTGTAAATTTATTAAACAAATTTGCGGCGTA